AGGTTGGTGGATTTGCACATGATGCTGTGCAATGCTCCTATCCAAGTGTGCATGGGTAGAGGATGGATGGATTCATGCATGCATGGATGAGTGGGTGGATAGATGGATGGATAGCAACATTGTTCATACACCAACAAAACAACAACAAAACGAAGAAAAGTGACCCTCCATTGTGAACTTTTGTTGTCCATACACCAGTACTGCTGCTGGCAGCAGTAGAGTAGCCAGATCTCCCATCTTCCCTCAGTGACAATGTGACATATTGTCCTAACAATGTGCACTGACGATACTATGATCAGATCACGGTAGTAACCTAGCATATTCCCATCATGCAGCACTTCACACGACCTTTAACAGTCTAGCATCCTGGCTCAGTGCACATGTGACTATTCATCTTCAGAGGGAATCTCAATATTACAATGTACTGTAGCGGACATGGAAATCCGGTCGCACGTCTAGCGGCTCCAGGGTGCTGGCCATGCAGCCGTGGATAAGCACACACATGCATTTATGCGCTGCAGTGCGCTGGTCGCGTCGGATCAACATGTGCACTGCACGCAGCGTTCTGTACGCGCTGAGGGCGCCGGCCCTGGTCAATCGACTGGATTTCCATGTCCGCTACAGTAGTACGAGCCCTATGCCATTATGCCTTGAAGTGTGCTAAGCATTGAATGATGGTGAGCCAATCTCAATATTACAATGTAGCACGAGCCCTACTGTATGCCATTATGCCTTGAAGTGTGCTAAGCATTGAATGATGGTGAGCCAATCTCAATATTACAATGTAGCACGAGCCCTACTGTATGCCATTATGCCTTGAAGTGTGCTAAGCATTGAATGATGGTGAGCCGTGATCGGCCCAGTGGCATGAGTGTAGGACATGACTATGAGTGTTACATTCAGAGTCTCAGAGTACTGAGGATACCATCATGGTTTGTCTCACTGACACTATACTAAATAGACTGTAGATTCGTCAACAGTAATGAACAGATTGAACACAATTAAATGTTATGATAGTTGTCTCATGTCAACAGATCAGTCATTCTCTGGTGACCTGCTGTGCGAACTGATCATGAACTGTGGCCTGGCTATATCACGTGACAGACGTGCAAGTACACTTGTAGCCATGCAGCCATCTTTTCCTAAAGATGTCCGCAGGACCACGTATGACAATTTGCACATGTTCTATATCACTGTGCTCAACAACAGCAGGAACTCTCAGCGGCTACCCGGTGCACCAGATCCAACACCAAAACGACAGCCATGGGCATGGCAGCAGTTCACCAACACGCAGAGTACGAGATGCGCCGTATTAGCAACAACCGTGACGGCTGCTGATCCAGTGAAGGTGTGTTTCGCGATCAGTGGGTCAGTATTTCCAAAGGTTTATTTGTTACGCGCTGCTTGCTTTTATATCATCTTATTGATCATGTTTAATTAGGTCCCTCTTCCCTTATAAAACTACTGGCACCACGTTACGTGCAGACTGGCTATTTGAGTGTGTGGATACTAGTAATCTACATACAGGTACAGTGCTAGTGACGGCAAATACCCGCTACCGTGACCTGTCAGCTATACCCACTGATAGTGATTCTGTCTCTTGCCAAGTGTGCGGCCAGTACTGGAACTACTCAGTGCACTGGACGCATGGAAATGTGCAGGGAAGACGTCTGTTGAATGACTGGCAACGGATGCGTCACCACTTTTAATAGACTGTGCTGCGTGCGATAAGCATATTGTGCGAGTAAGTGCATGCACCTGACCCCCTGGTGGTCGTCTGTGGTTTACCGGCAGCAGCAGTGGGAAGAGAATGACGATGCTCTCTCCAACAGGCTGGACTAAGCCAGGACAACTCGCTACTAAGGATAATTATATGCCATGCTTATATGTGTGCCCTCTGGCCTCACACCGTCCGTGGAGTTGTGATGTGCTGTGTCTACAAGTACATACATCAATGGTGGTTGTGCATGTCTTTGACATTCTACAGAGAGGCGAGCCGCCTCCTTTTTAATGTATCTAATTCGTAACTTGTGTACAAACTTCTCAAGGCTAATATGGACACTAGGTATTTCGACGATGTAGATCAAGATGGCTGTATGCCAAGTTTCCTCGATGCTAGCTTGTAACACACACACACACACAGTCGCCAGGCCAATTACGCGTTGAAAACCTCCAGCTGTGAATACCAACTCCAGCATGATGTGCCGCGTCATTGGCTTCTCACTCTTGCCCCCCCCCCCCACCTCTCTCTCTCACTCTCTCGCTCGCTCTCTCTCCCTCTTTCTCTCCCTCCCTCCCTGCGTACATGCATGCTATGGTGTCTTAGTGCACATGTGCTATACATGTGTAGGCTTGCACGTATATGTGCATGTAGTCAGACTGGCTGGTAGCCTGGGATTGCTCAGATGAACCACATGCTGGGTGTACTGTTTGCCCATCACAAACCAAGGATGATAAATGAAATAAACAGCATGCACACAACTATCTCTGTGAACACAGTTGCCTCCCTCTCTCCCCCCCCCCCCCCATACCATTTTATCTGCGGGTTACCATGGCACTAGGAAAATGGATCGTGTCATCAAATCCTGAGAGTAGTGCTTGAGAGAGAATTTTGTTTAGATTGAGCTTCACAATGTCATGATGATTAGAGTGCCAGGCGGCCATGTAGGGTGATAGTAGCTCCACAAACACTTCCTGTCTAGCAGCTGAGCTAAGAAGCCATGCATGGAGTCCCCAACCCAAGCAGGATTGGCAGGAGAGACTTGGAACAGTACATGCACGATGCACAGCCACTTTACCGGACATAACTACTTACTACCATGACTCCAGCCTACATTGCACGTAGCACAGTAGGCAGTGTAGACTGTAGTGCCATGCTATCTGACACACTGACACACCCCTGTCCAGCCAGGTCCCCAGTCTAGTATCGTCACTGTCTAAAAACTACTTGGAAGTAAGAACTTATCTGTTACTTGTAGGTTACATGCTTGACAAGTAACAGCATCATTAGAGGAGAAACCCTTTCACAGATGGCTGAAGTCAAGTGCAGAGTGTCTTTCCAAGAGGGAAAAATGAGTTCTCAAGTCTTTCACAGGAACTCATTGTCACACAAGCGATTGGCATCAAGTGCAGTGGGAGACGAACCATACTCGCCTGAACTTTGTTAGAGAAAAGTTAGAATTTACTGATTAGCTCCATAAGCTAAGCTGTCTGTACACAGGCATGTGGACAATGTCAACGGCTTTAGAACATAATTATCACCATTTAACAATATAAACAAGCGTTTCGGAGACAAAAACCTCAATATCGCAATCAAGAGTATTACCTGTGCGGTAACTCAGGCCATGCGGTAACCACTTCTTCTTCTTTTGCATGTACATTTCCCATTCCCATTTCTCTCGCATGTTTGTTACTAGTATTGTAACAAAACATGGTTACCGCACAGTTAGCACTCTTGACTGCGGTATCAAACATTATCATGTACATGTTAGTTCTTCTGTCGAGTGCAGTGTACATGCCTGGCCTATTTGCAAGTGTGACCCGGTGCCAAAATTGGTGTCTGTGTGCGTATGTGTTTGTGCGTGTGTTTGCGAGCGTGCACGTGTGCATAAAGGACATACTCAAGCAAACACAGATAGCAATGGTGAGAGAAGGGGGGGGGGGGAGCCGCGGTGGGGAAGAGACGTGGAGAACGGATATAATGAGCCAGGACCAGCAAGTAATGAGGGTTGCATGCTGGTGCACGGGTCAGGCAATGGAACACTTCATTGCCCACTGCGGCAATGGTCACGGTGCAATGGTTGCAACCATGTCGGACTGCACAACTGTGTATACCCGTGTGTACTGATGTGTGTGTGGGTGGATCTCATCAAGACAGTCAATCAAGAGAGAAACAGCTAAATATAGTAAAAATAGGCTACACGGCACCACAACACCACATTAACATACAATACTCTTAGGATGCCATTACGTGTATAATATAATTATTATGAAGACTACTGCTACAAATTACTGGTATCAGCTGGCACGGTTCATACACTACACACACACACACACACACACACACACACACACACACACACACACACACACACACACACACACACACACACACCGGCTCACCCTCTACCCCATCCCGGCCCCCGTGTGAATAAGAACACCGTGCCAATAACCCAGCAGCAGCCAGAGGATCGACAAGTGGTGTGCGCTGCCAGCTAAGGAATCGTGTAAAGCAACGGAAGGAGGTGCACTGATGGTGGTTACAGAGACTTGGCAGACCTAATGCCAGTAATGGTGGGAATCGACCGGCAGACGGCCACTCTTCAGATTAGAATTTCCAATTAGGTGGATGCCTTGCATGGCCAGACCACAAGAAATTCTGCCAGCACTTAAATGGCCTGGACGTGTTGACAGAGCACACTACGACATCACTACGATTTCACTGTGAAATCATACAAACTGACGCATACCAGTTTAAACAAAAAAGATAGATTGCCAAACGCCCACACAAACAACAGCAGAGTACATATTGGCATGATATTGCACACCAGGCAGGCAGGGTTACAGGGCCGAGAGCAGGCGCACCACCCTCCTAGAACGTCTCACTTGGCAAGCACGGCACCGTTACGCCGGTTTGCACAACCACAGTTAGTGTTCTGCTGCGTTTGTAGCTACAGCCAGTGAAGGCCATCTATCTACATCCGTGTATATTATTAGTGCTGTGTGCTGTGCTGCAAGTGTGGGCAGTGCAATGTGCCGCTGCTGCTGCTGCTGCCGTGCCAGTGTTGGCACCGTGGTGCTAGTGTTGGCACCGTGGTGCTGGTGTTGGCAGTGCACTGTGCAGTTCTTGCTGACATAGCACTGCACACGTGTATGTACACACCCAGGGCAGGGCCCTGATACAGCACATTATACTATTGTAGGATGCGAGGGCTGTGGACACGGATGCAGGGTCTGCTGTAGAGGCCATACTCCATACACATCGAGACAGGAGGACTTACTATGGTTCTTGGATTTGTTTCTGTATCCCATCACATCCTATTTCCAGACATGCTATTGCCAGTCATTGATACCCCTTGCCAGCATCATCCTGACAAAACACTAGAGCTACAGGCACTCTCGATTAGCACAGATACACAATGGTTAGCGTTATTTTTTTCCTCCATATCTGGCATTCACAACTTTGAAGAACACAATTACGTCAAATATTGTAATAGTCATTTTAAATTTTAAAGACAAGATAGAGCCAAGCGCTTCCCCAAGTAACAACATAGGGCAAGCATAGGGCAATAAAAAAAGCTGAATAATCGATATTGAAAATAGAAATCCATTCACGAAAAGACAAATAAATTCTTTCCCCTCGCCAACATGATAAACATGAAACAATACCTACTTTGAAGTGGATCGTTGAATACTAACATACCTGTACCTGCTCTGAGACTGAAACACTCCCCTGTTCTACTACCTCTAGTGTGTATTGTGGTACAGATAACAAGGGTACAGTGTAGTTGACAACAAGGGTGCAGTGTAGTTGAGTGCACGTGAAGCAAAACAAGAACAGCACAGTCACAGGCAGGGCTGCAGCATACCAGACTGACAAAGGTCCACGCATCCAGGCATCTACGCATGCGGGTGCGCATGAGTCAATGTATTACTATTGTTGGGCGGTGAGCACATACACAGTGCAGCTCCTACAGACTTCTGATACCTGCCAGACGTGATCACAGAACACGGCAAAGGGAGAGAGAGAGAGAGAGAGAGGGGGGGGGGTCAGATTTGATGTGAATGGAGTCAATGGACACGCGTAATCAACAGCATGCTACGAAGCATTTTTCCCCTTGCGGGCCATTGGAATTTGAGGGCAATCGTTTCCATTTGCAAATCCAGATTTGTGACCGGGATTTTTGGTCAAAGTCTTTGGAGCACATGTAATATCACAACATACACAGAAAGTTCCACCACAGTACTGCCGAGCGCTGAAGAGCGGAGCGCCGAAGAACGACCAGGCTAGAATTTCACCAAGCACACCATACCAATGTATACACTGTGACTCAACAACCATGCATAGACTGTCATACATGAACATATGAATGGTCTAGGCTAGCAGGCTGACATCCAGACCGACAGTTCTGTGGTCCACTGGCCAAGTGTTGCTAACGTTACGTTATAGACAAGCATCAATCACAGTTTAAAACAACAATTTCTCCCCTCTAAATCCTCCCCCCCCCCCCTCTCCCAGTAAACAACAGACACATTTGGTCACTGGGTGACAGCGGTAATCTTCAACTCACCAGAACACTAACGTACATGCTGCTCTTGCGCCGCTGTTACTTGAATTTGAAGGAGGTGGATGTTGACGATCCGCACCAGCGCTTGATGAACTGAACTACATCCTGGCACTCAGGACTGTGGGTCAACTGAAATAGCAAAAAAAACACACACACACCCCACACACATTCCATAGCAAATACCATGCATGTTACACGGGCAGGAGAGAAAGCAACGGATGTATTCCATTCGAAAATAAATCACTTCCTTGGTAGCCTATGGACCACATCAAACCTAACACAGAAGAGAGAGAGAGAGAGAGAGAGAGAGAGAGAGAGAGAGAGAGAGTGAGAGAGAGAGAGAGACCATACCTTAGTCTGCATCACAAACTTGTTCCAATGATCTTTGTCAGCGACCAGTCCCAGCTGATTGTTGAACTCCACTTGTTGCTTTATCACAGGATACCCAGTGATGATGCAGGCAAGATCGGCTTGACCTGTGGTGGCATTTAACAACGATGCCTCATAGACACCGCGATCGTCCAATGCAAGGGCTTGAGTTACCTGACATATACACACAATCATAGCAACAACAAAAAAAGAAAGAAAAAAGATGTTGTCTCCTCGCCGTTTGTTCAAAAAAGATGTGCTATGAAACCCTCTTGGACACCAGTTTTCAAACTTTATGTTTTCAATAACAACGCAGCAATTAGCCAATAAAAAGGAGAAAGAGTATACTAAAACAAAAGCAGTGCACACCCCATAATACAGACAAAAGGTTAACTAAAATAACTGAAGGTGAATACCCAGGCAAGCTCTTGAAGCAGCGGTCGTTTTCAATACAGGTTTTACTTTGTAGAGCATTTCAGCGGTAGAACTCCAAGGCGAGAGAGAGAGAGAGAGAGAGAGAGAGAGAGAGAGAGAGAGAGAGAGAGAACACAGCTGGGTGAAGTACTCACAGTTTGCTCTGTTGATACGCTGACAACCCAGTCACTGATCTCGCTGCGTTCTTCTTTCTACAAACACCAAGAGCAAGCAGCACACATGTTCGAGGTGCCACACAGTCTAGCACCCAGTGTGCGTGCTGTGCATGTCGTGTCCTACCACATTCTGATGCTGGCAACCAGAACCATGCAGGCCCAGGCTACAGCCTTTGGCACACCACCATCTGACACCTGTCAGCTGCTAGGATTGACGTACGGTCCTGAAAGTACTGCTGCAGTGCATGAACGCATTTGGAGCACAACACACACGCATGCACACACACACACATAGCAACTCTGTTGGCATAGCAACAGATAGTCCAGGCTTGCCCTCAGACATACCGTGAGGCACGAGGTAGACGGCAGGGAAACCTCTTCTGGTATATCCGTCTCATCAAAATCATCCGTGGGACTTAGTTGATCAAGCGTACCATCAATCACCTGCACAGCAAGGGAAACAATTTCCAAAAGCAAAACATATCATCACCGGGGTTGCTTCTAGTTGTGGCGAGAAGTCCAGTGACTGCTCCAGTAGCAACAGTTACACCATCGTTAAGGGAACTCGGACACGTTTGGAAAATAGCTTAAAATACCTGACTTGTGACCGGTTAGGAATAACGCAATGGCAATTGATTGTTTAAAGGAGATATCATCATCACATCCATACTCACATCACATATGTCCAGAAGACGATTGAAGAAGACAAACGCCATGCCATCTTGTCCGGCCTCCTAAGAAATTCAACAAATGCAATCGTGGACGAAAAGCAATGACGCACAAGCACTAATATAATGTGGATGACCCCAGAGGAAAGTTGCATCTTTCCTTTAGTAAAATCTCCATCCCTAACAGTCGAGACGTGCATCGTGACTTACATCCGTAACAGTCGAGACGTGCATCGTGACTTACATCCGTAACAGTGGAGACGTGCATCGTGACTTACATCCGTAACAGTGGAGACGTGCATCGTGACTTACATCCGTAACAGTGGAGACGTGCATCGTGACTTACATCCGTAACAGTGGAGACGTGCATCGTGACTTACATCCGTAACCGTCGAGACGTGCATCGTGACTTACATCCGTAACAGTCGAGACGTGCATCGTGACTTACATCCGTAACAGTCGAGACGTGCATCGTGACTTACATCCGTAACAGTCGAGACGTGCATCGTGACTTACATCCGTAACAGTCGAGACGTGCATCGTGACTTACATCCGTAACAGTCGAGACGTGCATCGTGACTTACATCCGTAACAGTGGAGACGTGCATCGTGACTTACATCCGTAACAGTGGAGACGTGCATCGTGACTTACATCCGTAACAGTGGAGACGTGCATCGTGACTTACATCCGTAACAGTGGAGACGTGCATCGTGACTTACATCCGTAACAGTCGAGACGTGCATCGTGACTTACATCCGTAACAGTGGAGACGTGCATCGTGACTTACATCCGTAACAGTGGAGACGTGCATCGTGACTTACATCCGTAACAGTCGAGACGTGCATCGTGACTTACATCCGTAACAGTCGAGACGTGCATCGTGACTTACATCCGTAACAGTCGAGACGTGCATCGTGACTTACATCCGTAACAGTCGAGACGTGCATCGTGACTTACATCCGTAACAGTCGAGACGTGCATCGTGACTTACATCCGTAACAGTCGAGACGTGCATCGTGACTTACATCCGTAACAGTGGAGACGTGCATCGTGACTTACATCCGTAACAGTGGAGACGTGCATCGTGACTTACATCCGTAACAGTGGAGACGTGCATCGTGACTTACATCCGTAACAGTGGAGACGTGCATCGTGACTTACATCCGTAACAGTGGAGACGTGCATCGTGACTTACATCCGTAACAGTGGAGACGTGCATCGTGACTTACATCCGTAACAGTGGAGACGTGCATCGTGACTTACATCCGTAACAGTCGAGACGTGCATCGTGACTTACATCCGTAACAGTGGAGACGTGCATCGTGACTTACATCCGTAACAGTGGAGACGTGCATCGTGACTTACATCCGTAACAGTGGAGACGTGCATCGTGACTTACATCCGTAACAGTGGAGACGTGCATCGTGACTTACATCCGTAACAGTGGAGACGTGCATCGTGACTTACATCCGTAACAGTCGAGACGTGCATCGTGACTTACATCCGTAACAGTGGAGACGTGCATCGTGACTTACATCCGTAACAGTGGAGACGTGCATCGTGACTTACATTCGTAACAGTCACATACATGTAAAGTAAAACCTGTCAAGGAGACCACTCGGATAAGGCGACCAGCTGTCCAAGGGGACCACTACCACCAGGACTAAGGGATATCATTTCCAGTCAAATGACCCTGGATAAGGAGACCACCTGTACACAGCGACCACATTTTGAAGGTCCCTTGAGCGGTCGCCTTAGACAGGTTTCACTGTACATCCGTAACAGTGATATGCATCCTCACTGTACATCCCTAACAGAAAAGTAATATTACAACAGTACAACAGTACACGTCGTGGTGTCAACTCCGAAGCTGCAGGTGATCTGGCAAAATCTCCGCATGCATCATAGTGGAATTTAGTTTCCACATCTGTACGTACACATGCAGAGACACAACACCAGCTTGGCCTACAGCAGGACAGCCACGGCACACAACACACACTAGGAGATGGAGAGGAGATGGAAACTGAAGTATCTTACTCGAAGTTTCTTTCCAGCTTCCCAGTATTTGCGATCAGCTGCAAGCAGGTCAGTGTAGCGCACCATGGCAGTAGTCAACTTGAGACTGATGGCTTGCTGTAGAACACACACAACAGATACCATAAGAAATTAACAAGAAGACTAGTAACTGGTGTTTGCAACAAATACAGGAAACACGACAACAAACACATAAATAAATTATGGATTCCAAAATCCCACACTTACCAGTCCAACTTGACTAAGGCAGGCACAACGTAGGGCAAAGTAGTGAGCAATGCGTAGGTAGGTGTGCAGCGTTTTCACCTGCGCCTCATAGCTCAGCTTGACGTTACTTGGGATATTTTGAATCTGTATGGAGGACAGAGCAACAGGGCTGATGTCAGACATGAACAAGATGGGAGGGAGTGCATGACAGATGGCTGCGTGTCGACAGAGGAAAAAGAGCGGTGGGATCCCCCGGGTGGGTCACATCTTCTCAACAAGAGCAAAGACTAACATAGTGGTGTGTATCATTCGCTTGTGAAGTACATTCATCACTGAAACATACTACAGCTCTGCTCAATGAAAGAGATGTGCTGTACCACGTACTACTACTGTACACTAGTGTACACAGTACCTAGTGCCCATAGCCAGTGTAATGTAGTACAGTCAAATCTGCCGTTAGCGACCTCTGCTGTAGGCGACCATCTACCGTTAGCGACCGATTTTCCGTGCACCGACGGTTTCACATACAAATTGATCTGTCCAGAGTGACCATCTGCTGTGCGCGACCAGCGACCGCGATTTCATGCACGGTGGCTGCAGTCAAATCTGCTGTAAGCGACCGCGACCCAGGTTCAGTCAGGTGTGAAACTGTACTTGCCAGTGCACTGTCAACTGCAAGGTGTGAAAATGCGCTGTCTTGCAAGTGCGATCGACTGGCCCTGGCACCCCTATATTCTATTGAATATCCAATAAAATGATTTTTGAAATCACATTATTCTCGTCGATTTGAGACTTTTGAGTACATGGCAGCATATATGCATGCCCGGTATGCCGGATTTACCATACATCTGCCGTAAGAGACCATCTGCCGTAAGAGACCGCTTTTTCTTGCACCAAGGGGCGGTCGCTTACGACAGATTTGATTGTAGTGCACATAGCTAGCGCACCGTGGTACAGTAGCTAGCGCAACGTAGCTAGCGCACCGTAGCTACTGCACTATAGCTAGTGCAGTGTAGATATGAGTGCAGGACAACGGATAAGTGCATGTAGTACATACCACAGTGAGAAGGACATCACGCAGGTCAGCCACTATACGATACGAGGTATTCATGGCCTGGCCGAGAATACCACGGGCCATTTCTTCATAGCACTTGAAGTTCTGTAGCGAAGAAAGCAGAGAGAGAGAGAGAGAGAGGGGGGGGGGGGGGAGATATCGTGCATGAGAAAGAGACGAATGTCTGCCCGAGGCTCAAAAGCACGACTATCAATCAGTGGGGTATAAGCCATGTCAATATGTATAGGATATAGCCTTCGCTGGAGTGCATATGGAAAATGTACACCAAATACAAACCGAGGCCGCAGGCCGAGGTTTGTATGATGGTGCATATTTTCCATATACACTCCAGCGAAGGGTATATCCGACTTATACCTACCTCAATATACACCCCCATTCATCACACTCTTCTATAAACTGTTGGGCTTCGTATCTTGGTTTCCAAACTAAATTTCATTCCGACATACATAGACGTTGACGTGGAGGCATACAACTCCGAGTAGTACTGTACACTGCAGCATATAAATTGTACCGTATTGACAGTCCATCGCTGCATCAGACTGTAACCAGTTAGCTACATGTGCGCATGCGCTGCCATCATTCTTTCTCTTTCATCATTTTGGTCATCACGGCGGAAGGCCAAGAACCGTCTCCTAAACGTTGTGCTTCGACAACCAGTTCTGGACGTTGTCAACTTGTTGAGGAAGCTGTTCCAGTGAATACAAAGAAAGCAATGGAAACTTGGGTGTCTGCTGTTGATGATTACGCCATCGAGAAAGGCCATCAGCGCATTGATTACGGAACAGTCAAAGCCGATTTTCTCGGTGAGCTTCTCGAGGGCTTTTATGCCGATGCCCGAAAAAAGCGTGATGGGAGAAGTACAAGAGGAACAGCCTGTTATCTGCAAGAGGAGCCATCAACCACCATCTTCAGTTGCATCAACCAACTCTCAACGTGTTCCGTGATCCAGGTTTCAAGAAATCCAACCAGGTACTGGATGGAGTCCTCAAAGCAACGTCCCGTAATGGCGAGGAAAAGGTAATCGACCACAAGAAATCGGTGACAGATGAGGACTTAGTGAAGCTAGATGACTACTTTGGAGATATGCTGACTTGCCAGGATCCACGAAAACTATCGTTCTTCGTTTGGTACACTGTCACAATTCACTTCTGTTTACGTGGTGGTGAGCTGCAAGCTAAACTGAAGAAATCCGACTTGGTGTTGACCGTTGTTGAAGGCAAGGAGAGCTTCCATCTCGCTACCGATTTCATGACTAAAAACCATCGTGGAGGTCTTGATGGGACAACATTCGCGTCGAACGGCTGCATCAATGACGATGTTCAAGTAAACACTATCAAGAAAATCTCCGCGTTCTCAACTCCAAATGTGATCGGCTTTTCCATAGAGCCAGAACGAACCCAGGTACGCTAGTTGCTACTAACTTGCTAGTGATTCTGATTGTTGATTTATGAATAGCCCCTTGTCTCACAACATTCTTTCTGGCATGATGAAACGACTTTCTGATGTAGCTGGTTTGTTGGAAATGTACACGAATCATTGTTTACGAGTTACTTCCATAACGTTGATGAAAAAGGCAGGTTTGGAGGATCGCAAGATCATGGCTGTTAGTGGTCATAAAAGTGTAGCGTCCCTGCAGTCGTATGACAGACCAACTTCATCATATAGTCGTGTTCCAGCTGCTGCTATTGACAGAAAAGCGCTTTCTCCCGTTACCAATGCTGTGGCAAGGAGTCTTATTTCTGCTTCTTCTGCTGTCTGTGAAACCGCTGGCGCAAATTCACCCCTTGCACCCTATGATGGTGCTGCATCTCTGCCTAGTTCTGCCGGTGTTCAATTCGCTGGTAGCACACTTCACAATGTCACCTTCAATGTGACTACTCCTGTACGTAAGAAGAAGCTGAGGCTCAAGCTCAAGACGAAAGCCAAACCATCATCTATAGCTGAAGTTCGCAAGGTCGTTCGTGAAGATTCTGAATCCTAAAAAGGAGTATTATATTAACAGTATTTATTTCTCTTCAGTTTCATTCTTGAGCAAATACAATGAATATACACTGGCCGGGGTCTGTGTGATGATTGGGGGTGTGTAACCCATGATATTCAGCACCAAGATATGAAAAAGCATACAACAGTGAGGAAGGGAGAGACAAACTAGTATAGTTCAAGAGAGTGGAGAGAGAGAGAGAGAGAGAGAGAGAGAGAGAGAGAGAGAGAGAGAGAGAGAGAGAGAGAGAGAGAGAGAGAGAGTCAGTACCTGTGGCTTAGGCGGTGCACCCTCCTTCTTGAACAATGTCAGTGCGGATGTTGGTTTGTTTTGCTCTAGAATAAGATGAGCAGCAAAGCGAGCTACGTACTTCTCATGCACCGCAGATCCCTGGACAAAGAGAAGGAGAGAGAATAGGATCAGCAACCAACAAACACGACATGCAGGAGTGCCTTGGGCACAGAAACAGTCCGGAAATTCCATAAGGACATAGGTATACTCCTGTGAGTGGAAAGTAGCAACAGCTCCTGGACTACAGTACTGACGGGTAGCGCCGAAGAACGGACAGGCTAGAATTCAAGCACAGCATACTTCAGTAAGAACGGACAGGCTAGAATTCAAGCACAGCATACTTCAGTAAGAACGGAGAGGCTAGACATCAAGCACAGCATACTTCAGTAAGAACGGACAGGCTAGAATTCAAGCACAGCATACTTCAGTAAGAACGGAGAGGCTAGAATTCAAGCACAGCATACTTCAGTACCAATGTATACACGGTGACTCAACTGTGCATAGACTGTAATACATGAAAATAAGAATGGTCTAGGCTAGGAGGCTGCATCGTCACCACATCACACATGTGCTAGCTACGCCCATGCTAGTGTGCTAGCTACGCCCATGCTAGTGTGCTAGCTACGCCCATGCTAGTGGCGCTGCTAATAGGGTTCAGTTGTAGATCAGTGTACTACTGAACAGGCAGTCTTACCTTCTGCTTGGCCATTTCAATACATTGCTCCCATTCTCCTTGCGTTGCCAGCATGTCCAAACCAGCAATGGCATCCACATTCACCAGCTATACACAGGTACATGTACACACACGCACGAACACACGCATACACGTATGCACGCACACACGAACACACGCACACACGTATGCACGCACACACAAAAGCATGCATGCGCGCACGCACTCAATTTTGGTGATTTTATCAATAGAGATTCGAAAAAGGGTCGAAAAAGGGAGGTACCTCGGACTGGGGTTTGACCCGCACAATGTACGGTTGCAAGTGGAGTGAAACGGCCTGGGGTTTTATGGTTTTTCCCAATTCATTGCTTTTGAGGCAAAACCTGGCCGAAATCCTATTTTTGTTACGGCTTGCTTTTTGGAGAAATAGACTTCAGAAACATAATTGGAAGAGCATTCCATGGAGAGTGCCAATACAATTCTAAAAAAACTCAAGTTTGACCCAGTTATGCCCAAAAGCTAGAAGTTCATCTTTCATGAATGGAGCCAGCGCACGCGAAAAGAGAGCTAGCGTACTTGCACTTGAAACTGAGAAAAAGCACTTCAAAGTTTGAAGTGCGTTTTTGGGTGGATTTTGAAGTTGAGTCGCTGCGATTCTGTATAATCTCGCGCGTTTTCGCAATTTTGCGCAGGTCGATGACACGAGAATGGGGTTGACGGTCTAAGCTTTCCACCAGTCTTTAGATTTTGCAAATCGGTCCTCGCGTTGCTGAGATTCGTTTGTTTGAAGCTGCGCTTGTTTTCTTGAGAGAGCTTCTTTCTCAACAATTTTTCTCGCTCTTGCCATGAGTCGAAGAATAGTCTTCACTGTCGATGAAGCTCTTGCTGACGTGCTCAGGGAGTGCGAAGATGAGTTTCATGGCGATCCTGAGAGTAGCTCTGACAGCTCTGTCGCTCCACTTCAAGATTCTGGTCAGGAAATTGCTGAACAGGGCGTAGAATTGCAAGTTGACACTGACGACGCAGACCAACTCCACTACCTCAACTCCAGGGTGAACTCCGATGTTGCAACAGCGAACTACCTGCATGTAGAGCCTCAAAGCGACTCTGATGAGGCTGGAGTTATCGCTGATGAAGAAAATCTAACTGTGGAAGACGAAGCAATAGTGGAGAACGTCCCTGCTGCTGCTGCTGCTGCTCCAGCACCTGAATTTGCTCAGCTCCAGAATTGTGGATGCAGCAAGAACTGCCTTCGTAAGTTTGACAGAGTAACTCTTGAGCAGTCAACACTAAACATGAGGGAAATGGAGAAAGGTGAGAGCGATACCGTGCTATTGGGAATTTTGGAGTCCTGCCGCCACAATACCAGTCAGAACGCGCACGGGGGAAAGCGCCGCCGCGAGTCCTTCGCCTACAGCTTCCAGGGTGTCGAGGTGTGTGTAGGTGCGTTTCGCTACGCGTACGGCATCGGCAAGAAGCGTTTGTATGGTCTGCAGCAGCACCTGGAGAAACACGGACTGGTGCCCAGGGTCCATGGCAATACAGGCAGGCGACCACATAATGCGCTCCTGTACGCTAACGTGAAGAGATGCGTTCAGTTCATCAACAACCATGCAGAAGTCAACGGCATTCCGCATCCAGCCCCGCTGCGTGGACGTGATGATGCTCCTCCAGTGTTCTTGCCTGCTACCCAAACATACAAGAGCGTACATGCCTTGTACAAGGAATCTTGCGTGGCAGCCCAAGTTGAGATCATCGGTGAATCATCGTTCCGCTCCATTTGGCATAGTTGTTTGCCCAACATCAAGTTTATGACGCCACGCACCGATGTATGCTCGACGTGCAAGCAGCTGCGCAGAGCCGTTATGTCAGCAGTCTCAGAAGCGGACAAATTGAAGGCCTGTGACACTCTCTCCAGCCACATCACCCATGCGCAAGCTGAGCGGCAATACTACAAACAAAAAACATTGGATGCCAGGGCTGAAATGGAACAGCCAACAGGAGAGCAGCGAAAATGTGTGCATTACACGTTTCATTTTGCGCAGAATGTGTTTCTCCCTCAAACAGCTCGTCAAGAAGGACCACTCTACTTCAAGACACCATTCAAGGTCCAGCTGTTCGGCGTATGCTGCGAAGCGATTCCGCGGCAGGTGAATTACCTTCTTGGAGAGGCGGATACCATTGGCGAGGATGGCAAAAAGTCTCATAATCCAAACACCGTCGTGTCCCTGCTCCACCATTACTTCGCCGTTCACGGTTTAGGTGAGGACCAATGCTTTCTCCATGCCGACAACTGCGCAGGGCAGAATAAAAATCGCACTGTGATGGCTTATCTTGCGTGGATGTGTATCACTGGCCTCCATCAGCGTATCAGCCTGTCCTCCCCCCCCCCCCCCCCCCTGTTTCGGGGTAAACAAGTTAGTTGTTTACGATAGGATTATTCTCACTTGGCCATTGTAGGCAAATCATAAGAACGTCGACATCTAAAGGATCCTGCATGAAAGTAGGCAGCTGCGAGATGCGTATCTCGCGCATGCTCTTGCATGGCTACGTAATGCATTACATCATAATACAACATCCCCTTCGTCATAAAGGAGTTTAACAACCTACATAACATACCGTACGTATATGACGGCGTGTTCACAATATAGAACATAACATCCAACAATAGCTCTATGTACAAGGTAACAATCATGAATGGCACACGACGGCGTGCTAACAATACAGAGACATAGTATCCAACAACAGCTCTATGTACAATATAACAATGGCACCTCAGCTACTGTGACATAAGCGAACAGGTCCATGAGGCCTCTCTGGCCCTACACATCCAGGATTGACCTGGGTGCGACTGCGCGGCCAGACCGTGTTCGATACAGCTGGGTGGCAGGTTCAGCAGGCTGGCTGACGTCACACGGTGACGGCGGCTGAGACTGGCTAACGTCGCTCCACGGCGACGGCACGTCACTCGGCGGCTGAGGGCCTGCGAGACTGGCATCCGGCGGGAAGTGGACCCGCCTCTCTCTGAGGTGGGTACGGTTGCGCCGCACTTCTGTCCCACGGTCAGGCTGCACCATGTATGACCGTGGCCCGTTGACAGACTGGGTTACGATACCAGGTTCCCACAGGTGCGTGGTCGGGCTGCGGATGCCGACGTGCTGACCAGGAACTAGGGGGCGGAGAGACTGCGCTCGCTGGTCATGGTGTACTTTCTGCTGGTCCTGCCGTTCCTCGAGCTTCTGTCGGATGGCCTCGTCCCGAGTGTCGCGCTGGTGTTTGCGAGGCAGGTTGTCCTGTACCTGACGACCGAACAGCATCTCGGCCGGCGACGGTAAGCCCTGGCACACTGGGGTGGCGCGAATGCACAGCAGTGCTAAGTGCGGGTCGGTCCCGCTCTCCCTTGCCTTCTCGAGAGCTCTCTTAGCGATCTTGACTTGCGATTCGATAAACCCGTTACTCTGCGGGTGATGTGGCGACGAGGTACTGTGGCGGAATCCATATTCGGCAGCAAACTCCGCGAACAGATGGCTGCTGTATTGCGGCCCGTTGTCCGACTTCAGCACGGCTGGGATGCCGTGCTCACCGAAAATCTCCTTGAGGTGCTGGATGATGGCCCTGCTGGTCGCTTGTCCGGCAGGCAGCTTCCGGGTGATAAAGTACTTGGAGTAGTAGTCGGCGGCAATGAGGTATTCTGACCCGCCGAGGTAGAACAGGTCCGTGCCTAAGGTGTGCCATGCCCTTGGCGGAATATCGGGCTGCACCAGTGGTTCCTTGGCTTGACTGCTCTGGTGGCGCTGGCAGGTCGTGCAAGATGAGACAGTTGCTTCAATATCCTTGTTGATGTCCTTCCAGAAGACGGACGTTCTGGCTCGCAGCTTGGTCTTCTCTATGCCTTGGTGGCTGGCGTGCAGCTTGCTGAGGATTTCCCCCCTCATTGGCGGGGGAATCAGGACGCGACTGCTCTTCAGGATGAGACCGTCCTCGGTGCTCATCTCGTCGCGGAAATTCCAGTACGGGAGCAGAATTGCCGGCACCGCGCTCCTCTCTGATGGCCAGCCACTGAAGATCATCTCCTTCAGTGCTGACATCTCGGCGTCTTTAGCCGACTCCTCACGGATCCTCGTCATCGCTGCATCGCTGAATTGCGGGAACACGGCGTGTACACTGACGTCGAGGTCCTCAATTGGCTCTGTTTCCTCTGGCGACAGTCGGGATAGCGCGTCTGCGATCGGAATGTCCTTTCCGGGGCGGTACTTGATGGTCATGTCGTACGGCTGCAGCTTCAGCAGCATGCGCTGTAGACGCGGCGGGGCTGCGCGGAGGTGCTTGAGCTTGATTGACTCCAGCGGCTTGTGGTCGGATTCTACTGTGAATGACTGACCGAATAGGTAGGTGTGGAATCTTTCACACCCGTATACGACAGCTAAGAGCTCACGCTCAATATTGGCGTAGCGAGACTCCGTCTCGGTAAGCTTCTTGCTGGCGAATGCAACAGGCTTGTCGTCCTGCAGCAGAGTGGCGCCGAGACCTTTCATGGAAGCGTCGACTTGTAGTGTCGTTGCCTTGCCTGGGTCAAAGTAACTGAGCGTTACTTCTGTCGAAATGGCGGCCTTGACCTTGTCGAAGGTGCGCTGGTGGCTGTCTGTCCAGGCGAACGGTGTATCTGGCTTGGTCAGCTCACGCAGGTGCGCGGTCAGTGTACTGGCATTCGGTATGAACGGGCTCATGTACGTGACTAGCCCGAGGAACGTCTGGAGCTCGTCCTCGTTCTCGGGGTGCTCCATCTGCTTCAGCGCTGAGACCTTCTTCGGGTCGGGCTGTATTCCGTCAGCGCTGCAGATGATGCCGAAGAACTTGATCTTGTCCTCTTTGATGCGGCATTTGTCTGGGTTCAACTTGAGACCAGATTGTTCGCAGCGAACCATCATCTGGTGCATGTTGAGATCATGGTCCTCGTCTGACGTCCCGTATGTGACAATGTCGTCTGCGATGCCGGTGACGCCTGAGCACCCTTCGAACGTCTGGTCGATCCTTGCTTGGAAGACATCTTGCGACATCTTGAGGCCGAATGGCATGCGAAGGAATCTGTAGCGCCCGAATGGAGTGTTGAAGGTGGTGAGGTAACTGGATTCGTCGTCGAGCTCCACATTCCAGTACCCACATTTGACGTCGACGATCGAGAACACTTTGGCACCTCTCAACTTCGGGGTGATCTCCTCAATGGTGGAGACCACGTGGTGCTCTCGCAGGATGGCGTGATTGAGGTCCTTGGGGTCTAGGCACAGGCGTAGCTTGCCATTGTCTTTGAGGCGGAACACGAGGCTGTTCACCCACGCTGTTGGTTCGCCTTCCTGGATCTTGGTGATGATGCCGTTCTGGATCATGTCCTCCAGCTCCATCTTGATCTCGTCTCTCAGTGCGATGGCGTGGAGGTGGCGTGGAGGGTGTACAACCGGGACGACGTTGGGGTCCACCGTGATGTGGTACTTGCCTGGGAATTTCCCAATGCCATCGAAGCACTTCGGGTATTGCTTCATCAGGTCGTCCTTGTCTCGGATGCTCGCTGGCTTCTCCTGGACAGCGCAGTTCAGCGTGACTAACTGCAGGGCTGTCGCTGTCGGGAGACCGATGATAGCAGTGCCAGGGCAGTCCGTGATGTAGAAGTCAGCGAGTTGACTCTTGCCATCGTAAGAGCACGGAATAGGACGGGTTCCGCATTGCTTTATCTTGGATCCGCCGTACGCTGTGAGGGTGGTACTTGACGGCTTCACGGACTTCGGCTTTGGGTATCCGTTTGGTCCGACGTGCTGGGGGAACATTTGGCAGAACACTCTCAGCGGCAATATATTGCCCTGGGCGCCCGTATCCACCTTGGCTCTCAAGGTGGCCGGTCTGTTGGTGTTGTCCAGGCTGACATTGAGAGTCGCGAACACCTCTCGCCCTAGTGGCGGTTGGTGACGCTCGACGCTGTCGATGATGACGGCGTCGAAATGCAGTGCGTCGAAGCGTCTCCGTGGGCTGGGGCTCCTCTGGGGGTAGCGCTCCCGCGGGCTGGGGCTCCTCTGGCGCCAGCGTCCGCGTTGCTGGCCCCTTCCATGTGCCTCGTCTCTCCCCTGCGAACGGCATACGTTTGCCCAGTGATTCGCCTTCCCGCATTTGTTGCAGGTGGAGCCGTGCGCTGGGCACTTGCTTGGGTGGTGGGTTCGTCCACATTTGCCGCAGTCTGCGTGTCCCACAGATTTGGAAATGGCGTGAACCGTTTCAGGTAGACGGCTGCTGCTGGTGGCGGTGGACAGCTGCTCCATGTGGCGCTGTGTTGCTTCATAAGTACGGGCCTTGTCAAGCGCTTCGTCCAGAGTCAAATCACTACCACCCTCCAGCAGGCGTTCTTGCACTTTCGAGTGCTTCGTCCCCACGATTAGCTGTTCTATCAGGCGATCGTTAGTCTCCTGAGTGTCCCTGAACTTGCACTTGGACGTCTTCTTCTTACACCTCGCAAAGAAATCATCTACAGACTCGTCGGGTTGCTGGCGGTATTTCTGAAGCTCAAACCGAGCCAGTCGTGCATTTACCCGTGGCTGCAAATGCTTATTAAATTTCTTGAAGACGGCAGCTACTTTGGATTTGTCGCTTGCATTATCCCACTCGAAACTATTGAAAGCATCAACACCAGTTCTCCCGATCCATAGCATGACATAGGCGACCTTTTCCTTGTCGGACTTGTCGGAAAAGGGCCCTTGGAAAACTAGAAGGCAGTATTGTTGGAACCGCTCGAATTCGTCAGGTAAATCTGCGGCTTGCCAATCCATCGACGGCGGGGTAAATCCGGCTGCTTCTGCCATTTTACCTCTTGCACCGGTGGCGCTACTGCGACAATTCTAGGGCGTTTATTTAGTTTACTTCTGACACCATGTTTCGGGGTAAACAAGTTAGTTGTTTACGATAGGATTATTCTCACTTGGCCATTGTAGGCAAATCATAAGAACGTCGACATCTAAAGGATCCTGCATGAAAGTAGGCAGCTGCGAGATGCGTATCTCGCGCATGCTCTTGCATGGCTACGTAATGCATTACATCATAATACAACACCCCCCACACACACACAGTAAACGATCAAACACATACATAACAGTATGGACACTCACTGCCTTGGCATCACCCTTCTGCTCCAAGAACTGACCATGTGCCTGATCTACATACTCCATCAGACTAGGAAGAGAGTAAGGTTAGACACATACACACACCAAACACACACACACACACACACACACGTGCGTGCACGCACGGACGCACACACACATACACACACACACACACACACACACACACACCAAGGTCAGCCGAGATCCAGAAAGCCACCTCAAGCCAGCTAGAAATAACTGTAAGATAGAAGAAGAGCCAGTGGTGGCCACACCACCACCACCCAGCTGGAACCAGTCCTACAACTACCAGTACTCGCAGGGAGATTGAAGCTAGAGAATACCCAGACCTCAGTATACTCTAAGCAAGTATGCGGGCAGTTGGGGGGGGGGGGGGGAGAGGGGGAGAAGAGGGCACTGTGGCTAAAGTCAACAGGGTCGTATTGCCCACAGCTCTAAATGGCGCCAACAAAACCAGGCAATACACGCAAATACCGTAGTTTCTGGAACTAGGGCAAGTCTTTTATTTACTGCCTGTCTTAAATACGCGCCATACAATTTCACGCCACCACAGCCAGGCAATAGAGAGGTTCTAGAGGTGTCAACGGGTAGTAGGGTACCCGTGCTACCCGTAATTAGAGCGGGCACTCGGGTTGTAGTTTGCTCCTGAGAACCTGATTGGGTAGGTGGAGTACGGTGGTTTCGCAACGGTGCATGTAAGAATGTGCTTACTGTACACTTTCTATGTAGCGCAAGGGCACACGCACTGTACAAACTATGTCAAAAAATACCCGATAGGGTACCCGTGCTACCCGGATAAAAAAATATCCGAACTCGTTACCCGACCAAACCCCTACCCGTTGCAGCCCTAGAAAGTTCGTACAAACTTTCGCGGACGGCCTTACGAAAATTTGCGCGAAATTTCGCACGAACTTTGTGTTCTGCACTTTCTCGCAGTTCGCGAAATTCGCAGGTACACGTATGCGCGTACGCGCTCGCATGCACGTTGTAAAGCAGGCCATGTGGATCGAAACAGCGATATTTTTGAAGAGTTCATTGAATGCAGTACTCGATAGACACTACTCACTTCTACTGTACTTGCTTCATCAGTGCAGGACACAAGATTCGTTGTGAGCTTTGTAGTGTAATCATATAATTATGTATTATGACTTTCATGTTGAGTAGATCTATGACCAGTTGTATGCCTTTCCCCCTTTCTGTCACCAACCCAGTCTGAACTAGCACACGTACGCCCCTCAGGCCATGCTGTGTCTAGACTCACATGTGATTGCATGGGCACTCTTTGTATTGCTTGCACCATATCCACTACACCGTATTCATCGTCTTTCACACCTCTGCATGAACTGTACGCGAGTGCTGCCTTTGGCTTATGGGCACCATGTTTACACGCTCTTGGCATGCCTGTCGGGGCTCCCCATGCCCACTTTCTACACATCGTCCATCCTTCCATACACGGACCGGGGCTGGGATGCTGGGGCTCATGTTGCTTGTTGCAGCTCTTCTCTCGGCACTCCTTTCTCCTGGCTTCTTACTTCACTTGCACTATCTGTTGGTATGTCGTTTGTCTTGTAAATAACTAAGCATTGGCAACCCTAGCTCAGGAGTTTGCTACAAGCTTGGCTGTGTTAGAAATTTAGCTTGGTGAGAACGACGAACGTAGCTGAGATAAGTGGCGAAGAGAAAAGTGCAGTGCTCTGCTGCCTATTCCTGCTAGCCCATGACGAGGGAGACTTGGATGACAAGGAGTTGCTGATGCTGATCGGCGGTGTGGAGATGTGTGCTGCCCGGGACCTCCTTGTAGGCCCCCAGGAAATTGGAAATAGGCTGGATTTCAACTTGCTGGATGATAATGTTTGTCTTCGTCAATTCAGATTCACCCATCGCCAACTGGAAGAGCTTTTTACAGCTTAAGATGTTTGTCTTCGTCAATTCAGATTCACCCATCGCCAGCTGGAAGAGCTTTTTACAGCTTTACAAGTTCCACACAGACTTCGAGCACCATGCAGGACCACGTGGAACGGAATGGAGGGTCTGCTGATTTTGCTGCGTCGTCCTGCATACCCAGATCGTCTGGGTATGCTGTGTGAAGCGTTTGGTAGAAGTAAACCTGTTCTGCCACTCCTCATCAACAGCATGCTGATGTGGATATGGGAAAGGAGGGGAGAGGCTTGGTGGAGAACCCCTTTGCGCAGCCGTGTTTCACAGCAAAGCGCATTGAATGTGCCCTGCTTTCCTGTGCTTCTTGCAATACAGAAACTGAGATCATGATTGAAGGACTCGAGGCACTGAAGATGACGGCAGCTGACGCTGCTAGCCTATGCGCAGGCGATTTCTGCCAAGGTTGGTGTGAACCTGAATGTATGGGGTTACATTGATGGCACAGTGATGCCAATATGTCAACCAGGTATGCATCAGCGATTGATGTACAACGGTCACAAGCGTGTGCATGCTGTAAAGTATCAGGCTGTTGCGACACCTGACGGCCTCATCACCCATCTGTATGGGCCCATTGAAGGGCGACGACACGACCCTGGTATCCTCCGCGAGAGTCAACTGCTGCATGCCATGGCCCAAGAAATCAATCACCCACAGAAGGAGCCCCCATTTGCAATTTACGGAGATCCTGCATACCCGCTAAGCCCCTACCGCCAGAAGGCATACCGAGGCGCAAATCTACCTTCTGACCAGCACCAGTTTAATGTGCACATGAATGCAGGCCGCATTGCTGTTGAGTGGGCATTTGGAGAAGTCTGCACGCTATGGGCATACGTCGACATGAAGAAGCAGCAAAAGCTACTTTTGCAGCCAGTGGGCTTGTATTACAAAGTGGCTGCTCTCCTCACCAATCTCCGCACCATCGTGCGCTTTGGCAACAAGACCAGCAGCTATTTCAGCATTTCACCGCCATCGATCCAGGAGTACTTGCAACCGTAAGCACTACATCCATAGTGGACATGTTTGTGGAATTTATCTCCACAACACAGCACTGTCAAGGAAATCGGACTTTTCAACGGACAACCATTTTATTCAGCTTCTATTCGCCAGATCCACACAGATTTCTTTGTGATCACAGCACTCAACTTTAAATAGACATGTTACGACGTCATATGATGATACAGTAAAAGCTGTAACTAAAGACCACCGTGACTAGCGACCAGCCTGCTACTACAGACCACTTCGCCGGGCACGGGCGGTCTCACATTCATATAATTACGGTTGTGCGGTGCAAACCTCTAACTAAGGGCCACCTGCCACTAAAGACCACTATCTTTGGCCCCAAGGGGTGGTCGTTAGTCACAGGTTTTACTGTATATAAAGATGAAGCCAAAAAGCCAACTGATTCGAATTTGTGACAGTCCCACATCATATATAAAATATTTGTATCATTTCATTTTCTCCATCATCATCTTCATCATGCACATCATGGCTTCATCTTTGCGCTGATCGGCAGTATCTTTTTTTCTTCACTTTCTTGGGCCTTTGCTGCGAGCTCTAGGATATCACGATCACGGTCGTTTTTTTCCTTGAGGTAGCGGTACAAACTTTCGTTATACGTCATGAACTACAAAACTTCGCACGAACTTTCGCAGTTCACGACGTATAACGAAAGTTTGTACGAATTTTCGTTATGCAGAACCAGGGGCGTCGGACATGCAACGGTCACGACGGTATTGACCGTACCACTTTTTGCCCCAGGTACCCCGTGAACCAAAAGAGTACACTGATCTGGGATCTATTTTTCAGCTCAGCCATCCCTTCCCCACAGGTAAATTGTACAGTTCAGAAGCCCCCTGACCGTATCAGACTAAAAATACCTTTGCCAACGCCCCTGAGAACCTCTCTAATACCAGTACCAATACACTGACCGAGGACAGAACACTCTACGGGACAGACCCCTACAAACCCTAGCTGCATCTCATGTTTGGCATTCTTTGTAAAAAAACAAAAAAAAACAAAAAAAACACAATGAGTACAGACCCCTACAAACACACAACACAGCACGACTGGCTTACTCTGGAGCAAGTTTCTTGGCGACGCGACGCGCTTTCTTCCAGTTCTCCACCTGAATGAACATGTCGATAGCCTGTCGATAGTCCTCCACTTGCAGGTAGTACTCAGCCGCCTGAGGGGGACAGAGAAAACACTTACAGTCAACGGAAGACACCAGCACTTTGAACAGAGCCAGGATAACACACTACTGCTGTTGTTGTTCAAGCAGTCATTGATGCCAGGAACGTTCATACTAAGTATATCATGAGAATGGAGTGCAAGTAGCGCCAAAATGGAGCGCAAGTACACATGTAGCATGAAAAGGAGAACCCACCTCTTGGTACAGCTCTACACCAGCCAATCTCTCTGCAACAATCATGGACACTCCCTTGGCCGAGTCGGGCATGAACTTCACAGCTAGCTCTGCCGCCTGTTGCAAGAGGAGCAGAGGAGGAAGGAGACCATCAGAATCACCCAGTACTAGATGTCTATGGCCTGTGCACTGTGCACTGTGCATACATTATACAGTCAGACCTCGTTTATCCAGTCCTCTTTCATCCCAATCCCTCACCATCCGGAAGAAAATTGTTGGTTACCGATTTACAGCATGTGCCATGCATACATACAGTATGTGTGTTCGATGATCCGGTTCCCTTGCCTATCCGGATATTTTGCGGAAAACGGACGCGTGCGCCGTTAAGCGAGGTCTAAGTGCACTGAAGTTTCACTGACTATGATACACTAGAGTAGAGATGTGCTTGAAAGTACAGTAAACCCTGTCAAGGTGACCACTCGGACAAGGCGACCACCTGTCCAAGAAGACCACTGCTGCCAGGACCTAGGAATGCTATTTCCAGTCAAATGACCCTGGATAAGGAGACCACACTTTGAAAGTCCCTTGAGCAGCCGTCTCAGACAGGTTTCACTGTTCACCAAGGAGAATCAGATCAGATGCTACAGTACCTTAGTCCAGACTTGCAGTAGCAGAGAGGTATCCGGAGTATGTTCGGATGTGATCTTCAAATACGCCTGTATAGCTTGTTCATGATCGCCACTCTGCTCCCAGGCCTGTGCTGGTGCCAGCATCTCTTCAGCTGACCTGCACACACACAGACACACGTCATGCACATATGTAATAGTGCTCCACGATATTGTGTTGAGCCCTCTTCCCTGGCAGAGGGAAGTTTTCCTCCTTGTACACACACATATATAACAGTGGCGTAGGAAGATGTTTTGGTTTGGTGGGGGGCTGTCTTCCCGGCAATGACCTGGTCATATACTGGTGTATACATGCTATACATGTACCGGTATACCAGTAATTCTTCTACAGAGAGTTGAGCTCCCCCCCCCCCCCCCCCCCAACATTCAACTATCCAATGCAAATACTGACACTTCCACCATTGAAAGACGTGATGTTGAAGATGAGCACTTTTTATTCCTCCAGTGTCTTCTTACCTTGGTCCCTGGGCGTTCATAAACTGGTCGTACTCCTTTTGAAGTTGAGCAAGCTAAGAACAAGAAGCAGCAGGACAACGACACGCACACACACGTACACACACACACACACACACGTACACACACATGTACACACACACACACACAATATAAAACCACACACATCTGGACATCTACATATTGCCGCCTGGATGTCTACTCCTGCCGAAGCTACTCCCGCATCCGTCGCTGCCGTATCTGTGAAGCTCCCACCCTTCTGGGCACCCGACCCTGAGCTATGGTTCTTCTTGGTAGAGGACGTGAATGTCTGAACTCTGAACAGCATCAGTGGGATAGTGGATGTGACGCTTCCTGTTAGCAAGTCCAGGAATTCTGGGAACACCAATACACTACACTGTTGCGACTAGGGACGGCATGAAGCATGCTGCAGAGCGTCTTCTTGCTCGGTGAACAACTGAACAGCATTCCCACCCGGCGTTTGTTGCAATTAGCATGTAGGGAACATAGATGCCGACAGGCAGCTACTTGAGCACTGTGCCCGGGGGAGCACCCTGAATATCAATGAGTCATTCAATGGGATGATATGGAAGACGAGTCCAAGGGAGTTCTTCTGCAATAGAACCACAGTAACAGTTTGAAGCAGCTGTTTACACAGCTGTAAGCAAGTTTAACGATGGCCACCAAACACTTTCGGCTGTGCTGCAAACAAGGAACTGCTCTGCTCTGCTAAGGGTAAATTTACCAGCTCTGCTTTACTCAAGATGGATGCTGAAAATCACAATCAGAATCACAGCAGCTGAAGGTCCAGTGAGGAGCAAAGTCAGCCACGAAGAAAAGAAGAGCCCTTCCAAGCGGATTTGCCAACGGGCCCCAGCAAGCAGAGGGTGTCGCATACGGTGCCGGAGGATTCCGGGAGTGCCAACAATTGGTGTTTTCTTTTGTCCAACTGACCACTTTGGTACACGTGATCTCCAGGTTGGCTCACCAGAACCCAATAAACCTTATAATTATGTGAATTAACCAGTGGGGAATTCCCAGATGCTGAGTAGATAAAATAAAAAAGCCATCAATTTTTCGTTTGGCTGATGTTAGCTGCCTCAAAAATAGCAAAATGAATTTACGACGGTGACAAACGTGTTCTACCTCATAATTATCTGTTGTACTGTAGCGTCTCATATTAAAGCCTGTCTCATGTAGAAGCCTGTATTGAATAGAAGCGGCCTGATTTTCAAGATACACTGTCGGCACATAAGCCTGGTTTTAGTGTTGACATACATAGAAAATTAGAAATACCTGTCTTGTATAGAAGCCTGTCTCATATAGAAGCCTGCAAAATTACCTCCAAAAAAGTGTTATAAGCCGCGGCTTTTATACACGACTTTATGGTATTCAGCATCTGCGACTGGTGTGAACAGTTTCTTGGGATGCATTTAAATCACTTTGCAGTTCAGCGGATAGTATTATTGCTGCCAGCATGTACCAAACATCTGAAAAGGCTGCATTTTTTTTTTAATTTCAAATGTACTGTTTGGGAGGATGGAAAGTAAAAAAATCAAGGCAGCAGTTTTTATTAGGTGATGGCATAAATCATGAACCTGTGTTCAAAATGTTTTGGAAAAAGAAACCTGAAGACCGAAAACATGACCAAATTTGTTGTGTGCAGCTGCGAATGGCATATTCCAGTACAGCCGCCCTAAAACTGGACAATACTTGTACAGGGACCATGCTGAATTAGGCCCCGATTTGAAGAGCTAGGGGTCACAGCAGTTTGGGAAGTCCAGAAATATGGCACATGAATTCAAGGGATCTACATAATAGACTGTAAAGTACTGTCAGAGCTTAATTTAATTATTATCACATAAGCAAACACCTGGCCAAACATGTGTGTCTACACGTGCATGTCCCCCCCCCCCCCCCCCCCCCTCCAACACAAACACACAGAGAGACAAACTTACAGCTTTCTTCGGCATATACTCCTTAGCAACTCTCAGAGCATCTTGCCACATACCAGCTCCCTGTGTAGAGTATGGTATAGGCATGCGCACACATGGGCGCAGACGGATACACACACACACACACACACACACACACACACACACACACACACACACACACACACACACACACACACGGACACACACGGACACACACACGGACACACACGGACACACACACAAAAGCAAATGAGCGACAGATCATAATAACCGTTTACTTTGTGGAGGGAAGATCAAGAACAGAAGCAACAATGCCCCCCCCCCCCCCCCCCACCCACACACCCATCCACCCACACACCCACACATACCCCCACCCACACCATAAACCATACACAAATGCCCTAACCCATACATACAAACAGTATTACCTTGTAATATTTGACAACCATGTCCGGCCGTTGAGCGCGTAATAGGAATGCCTCAGACTTGGTGTACTCCTTCGCTTCAAATGCATTGCGACCCTAAACAAAAGAAGATGCAATTAGAGGGACAAGAAGTAGATGAGACGAAGGCAGTAAACGGGGAAATGTCTGCGACTAATCGGCCAGAACCTAGGAAGTGGGAATTGTGATAGGCTGCAATAGCAGATTGGAAACAAAGCACTCTGTCAACTGAGAAGAGACTTGTTTCACAGCTCAAGGTGATAGGAAGAAAATTCTAATGGCAACATGAGAAGAACCAAAGTGTCAAGTAAAAAGGAAGGTGTCAGTACTGTCTGCATGAGAGAGGGGTGGGAAATGCACGCAATAACTTAATGGGTGAAGGTGGGTACAGGCATACCAGCATTACTTTTTATGTACAGTGAAACCTGTGACTAACGACCACCCCTTGGGGCCAGAGAAAGCGGTCTTTAGTGGCAGGTGGTCCTTAGATAGAGGTTTGCACCGCACAACCATGTATGGTTGTGAGACCGTCCGTGCCTGGCAAAGTGGTCTGTAGTAGCAGGCTGGTCGCTAGTCGTGGTGGTCTGTAGTTACAGGTTTTACTGTACCTGTGCTGGTTCTCACCAGTGGCACCGACCCTGTGATGTGATAGTGTGCTGGTGTGATGATGTGATGGTGTGATGGTGTGATAGTGTGATGATGTGATAATGGTACTTACTTGGCCTAGTAGCACATCAGTAAGACTTTCTGGATGGTGCTCCTCAGCCACACGCTGGGCAGCCTCCCAGTCACGACTGTGCACATACCTACAGCACAGCACGTGGACACACAGCACAGCACAGCACGTGGACACACAGTACCACTTGCATACAACAGTACATTGTAGTACCTGGCCAGAACATGTACACAATGACGTCCCAACAATGTCTAGAAGATTACCTAGACTAGTTATAAGGACTGGCCTATCATCAGTTGAGTTGGCCCATGCAATATGTAAGTCGACAAATATTCGGCGCATGTCTATTTTCGGCTATTTTCGGCCAGGTCATGTCTGGCTGAAATTTGTTGCGGCCGAAATTTTGTTTTGCAAGGTTCAGTGTGACAGTGTATACAGGCGGTAGCAGTACAGGCCGAAATTTTGATGCGGCCGAAATGGGTTTTATCCCTGGGAGGCCGAAATTTGAATGGGCCGAAAATTCATAGACTTACAGTATAAACCAGGCGAATACAATGAACAGTACCAAGAGTACAGGCTGTGGAGAGTACAGGCAATGAACAGTACTCGTACAGGCTGTGTAGAGTACAGGCAATGAACAGTACTCGTACAGGCTGTGGAGAGTACAGGCAATGAACAGTACTGGTACAGGCTGTGGAGAGTACAGGCAATGAACAGTACTCGTACAGGCTGTGGAGAGTACAGGCAATGAACAGTACTGGTACAGGCTGTGGAGAGTACAGGCAATGAACAGTACTCGTACAGGCTGTGTAGAGTACAGGCAATGAACAGTACTCGTACAGACTGTGTAGAGTACAGGCAATGAACAGTACTCGTACAGACTGTGTAGAGTACAGGCAATGAACAGTACTCGTACAGGCTGTGGAGAGTACAGGCAATGAACAGTACTCGTACAGGCTGTGTAGAGTACAGGCAATGAACAGTACTCGTACAGGCTGTGTAGAGTACAGGCAATGAACAGTACTCGTACAGGCTGTGTAGAGTACAGGCAATGGACAGTACTCGTACAGGCTGTGTAGAGTACAGGCAATGAACAGTACTCGTACAGGCTGTGGAGAGTACAGGCAATGAACAGTACTCGTACAGGCTGTGTAGAGTACAGGCAATGAACAGTACTCGTACAGGCTGTGGAGAGTACAGGCAATGAACAGTACTCGTACAGGCTGTGGAGAGTACAGGCAATGAACAGTACTCGTACAGGCTGTGGACAGTACAGGCAATGAACAGTACTCGTACAGGCTGTGGAGAGTACAGGCAATGAACAGTACTCGTACAGGCTGTGGAGAGTACAGGCAATGGACAGTACTCGTACAGGCTGTGTAGAGTACAGGCAATGAACAGTACTCGTACAGGCTGTGGAGAGTACAGGCAATGAACAGTACTCGTACAGGCTGTGTAGAGTACAGGCAATGGACAGTACTCGTACAGGCTGTGGAGAGTACAGGCAATGAACAGTACTCGTACAGGCTGTGGAGAGTACAGGCAATGAACAGTACTCGTACAGGCTGTGGAGAGTACAGGCAATGGACAGCACTCGTGCAGACAGTGGAGAGTACAGGCAATGGACAGTACTCGTACAGGCTGTGGAGAGTACAGGCAATGAACAGTACTCGTACAGGCTGTGGAGAGTACAGGCTGTGTAGAGTACAGGCAATGGACAGTACTCGTACAGGCTGTGGAGAGTACAGGCAATGAACAGTACTCGTACAGGCTGTGGAGAGTACAGGCAATGAACAGTACTCGTACAGGCTGTGTAGAGTACAGGCAATGAACAGT